ATGTATCAACTTTGAACACCAAATTCCAATTTTAATTTTCTTGAAGAAAAAAAAAAGGCGAGGTTGGGGAAAACCAGAGACAAATTTAAGGAGGCTGAGTAGATAAAAAGTATTTAGGGGCTTAAAAACTTCAGCCCCCTAATTTTAACAACCCCCAAACAAGACAAAAGCTAAGCAGACCAGCTTTCTGTATCACAAAAATTGAGATAAATCTAAATATAGTCAAAGGGACATAATTTCAGGAAAGACTCACCGTTAACATAAAATTAAATCACCATAGCAGGATTCTGTTTACTTGTGCAATTACCACAGGGAAATGTATCTATCAAAACATCACTAGAATTAATCAAAGAACTCAAGGTCCTAATACGTCTTCATAAATTTGGTTTAGAAAAAAGGCCAATATTAAATTATCACTAACAAACACTTCCATAGTAGTTTTTGGGTAGGAGATTTGAAGTTGCTAAGATCTTACCTGGAGAAGTCTTTAATCCAGTCATATTGAACATGTAGATGTTGTCATCTGTGCAGTTAGCAAATAAAGTAGAGCCCGTGGAATCCAAAATCAGACTTGAGTATCCTAGAAAAAGGAAACTTTAGTTAGCATGTCCTGATGACAGTGAGTAGAACAGAAGTGAAAATGTGGAGGCAAAAAGAACATTCCACAAGATTATCAGAATTTGTCTTCCCCCAAATATATATAAACCAAAAATATTCTTCAGAATGTTTATCTTTCTAATTTCAAAAAGATACAATGACATGTTAGCTTTAAGTCTGTGTTGCTGAAAACCAGCTTGATATTTATTTTTAAAATTTTAACAAAAACTCGCACATCTAAAAAAAGTCCTACAGGCTATAAAGAGGCTTACCTAGTTTTCGAGTGCTGCTACCTGGGTACAGAAAAGACTTGGATGCTATGGGTTCCTGTCGATAAGCAGTATAATTCTTCCGTAAATCCCATATTTTGATTACCCTAAAAACCAAGGTAAAGAAAGTTATTTTGTAGCCACCCAACTCCAACCAGTTTCTTGAATGTGAAATGACTTTTAATCTGACTCCTCTGGCTCATCAATCAGGTATAATGAGGATATCTCACTGGGAAACAGATTGAACTATCTCATACCGTTATTTCCAATGTCAGGCTAACAACTTAAGCGGAACGGAAACAGATGTGATCTGACCCAGTGATGGGTTACCTTGAGTTTACTTTAAGGGAGCGGAAAAGGAAGATGAAGGTTGGGTTCCGATGGTCATTGTTTCATTGTTTTCAGAAACAAAACAAAATAAATGCTTCCTAAGCCATTAACACTCTGCATGTAACCTCTAACATCATAAGGAATAAGCCCTGTCCCTATGGTTATCTCTCTATATAAATCCTTAAGTAATCTAAATAAATTTTCCAGTGAAATGAAGTATTTCTTCATTTCACTTATTGGTATAATTGTCTTAATCCTCAACATCTAGTTTATAGGCAACCTGAAAAAAACCCAAGTTTGGTATAAAAGGGCAGTATCCTTGCAAACAAACAGAGCAAGCTTTCACAGCCATTCAGAAGCATTACTAATAACCTTCAGATAATCCTTCATTTGTGCCTGAGAATTTGGTCCACAGACAAGTTTTGGTGTCCAGAAGAGACAACAGAAATCCTAGTTCATTAAGCCATCATCCTAAATTAGTTTCGAAGGTAGGGATGTCTTCAGAGATACAATGAGCAAATAAGAGGGCAAAGAAGGGTGCTTAAAAAAACATTCAAAGAATTTTTATTCTAACAAAGCAACCAATCAAGAAGTACCACAAACTTATTTGAAAACCAAACATTCAGACCAATCACGGATGGTAGGTATGTGAAAGTCATTAGGCCTTATTACTCCTTGAAATGCCCATTATATACCCAGAATCAGATTTCTTCTTTTAGGGTTATTACTAAACCTGAGAAGATAAAATCCAAAATAACAGAAATCTTACTCCTCAAAATAAGACCCACTGCTTAAATTCTACCGCATGGACAAGTGAGCTACCCATCCAGCTTCTCTACAACAGCAATAGCAGCCAACAATGCTCCCGTGTGCTAGGTAATGTGCTCAGTGTGATACATTACCTCATTTAATTTTTTGAGCAAAAGTCCTAACTAGGTATTTTTCAGTGTCATCTGTAGTTCTCAGCTGGATATTCACTATGTCGAAAGTTAAAAGCACACACATTCAATTTTAACGGGACTAGGTGACTTCCCTATGTTTATGAAAGAGATCTCATCAAAAGAAGCAAGGCTCTTACCCATCCACAGCTCCCGCCGAGACTAATGTATTCTCATCTTGAAAGAGGACCACAGTAACACTCTGCTGGAAATCCTAACAGCACCAGAGGCAGAAAAAGAATGGCAGAAAGTCCTATTTTGGGTATCATAATCTTCACCACAAAGAAACCAAGATGCTAAAATGATGGCTTCCCCCTCACCCAAACTCTGAGTTAGACTAAATTTTCCCTTTCCAATAATCCTAAATCAGATATTTATCCTGACCAAGAAGTAGTTTTGTGTGAAAATGACCTAAACATCATTAAGTTATAGTACATAGTGTTGACTTTGCCTTGTACTCAAGAAACAAACTGGTTCTACTTAAAATCAGCCCTACTAATAAGCTGTGTATTCTTAGAAAACTCATTTAACTTCCCTGTGCCTGTTTCATCTGTAGAATGTCACCATCTACCTAAACTATCATATAGGAGTGTCTAAAGAATTATGGATAAAAAATGACTACATGCTCTGAAAAATTCAAAGGAGCTCAGTAGAGTTTTACCTCCTAATTGTCATTAACAAATTTCCTTGGCTCAGAATCTGATTGTCTAAAATGATATTAATTTTAACTTCATCTGGCCTCCAAAAATCACATTAACCCTGTCAGTTTCTTCTCATGCCTGTGTCCTATTCATGGTTTACAATTTTAATTAGTAAACACATTTCTCTAACATATTAATTTGAATCCTACAGACCAGGAATATTAGCAAAATAAACACAATAAGACCCACCAAAAAAATGGCGATTTTTTTTTTTTTTTTGAAAGAGAAAAGGTATATTATGGGCATTGTTTAAGCTTTGACTACAAATTTTCAGAGAGATACTATATTCTACCTAAATGTCTCAATATATTTAATATTTTGCCAAATGTTTAAAAAAATAATAAAAATCTACATATTTCCTGTAGTTATGAAAACAACAGGGATTCCCTCCTCCTAAAGAAAACTCTATCAAGGTACTTAATATGCTTCTTCAAACCATCCCCCCTTTTCTAATGAATTACATTATACTCTAGATACGTGTATGTATGGAGGTCTCTAGGGATGAGGTTCAGGAAGATGACTTTTTACTATACTTCCAGGTGACTGTGTTGCACCCTACAGTTTGAGAACTACTACTGTAGTACTGTAGGTATTGAGTATTAAGCAATAAACCACTGATACCAAGAGGAAATGAAGATTCTCATTCATTTAATCTATAGCTCCTATTTTATGCCCAAGAAGTTCTATAAAATGAGATTCTATCCTGTTAAGATGCACACATGTACACAGCTATAAAACCTTACCACAGAAGGAGCAAGTCCTTTTGAATTCTGTTTCTTCTTAGGTTTTGAAGGGGTTTGCTTGTCTAAGGTATTGTGAGCTCCACTGATTTGATTCACTTGCCTATAAAATCCATCTGAAAGATATTTCGAACAAACTGATTTAGGTTTCAGAACTTTATTCCCATGCTGAATATAACATTTATGTATAAGATCCCAAAATTGTATTCCTAAAAGTGAAAGAAGAAGCTGGGAGCTACTGCATTACATTTCTTTCAGTGAGATTATAATATATCAAAAAGAAATAAACGTATGGATATTTAGAGCAGCTTTATTCCTAACTGCCAAAACTTAGAAGCAATCAAGATGTCTTTCAGGAGATGAATGTATAAGTAAACTGTGGTATATCCAGACAATGGCATAGTATTCAGTGGTAAAAAGAAATGAGCTACCAAGCCACGAATAGACATGGAGGAACCTTAAATACGTATTAAGTGAGAGAAGCAAATCTCAAAAGGCTACATATGTAAGATTCCAATTATATGACATACTGAAAGAAGCAAAACTATGGAGCCAGTAAAAGATCAGTGGTTGCCAAGGGTCAGGATGAATAGGCAGAGCACAGGGGAATTTTAGCGTTGTGAAACTAGTCTGCGTGATACCATAATTATAGATACATGTCATCATGTTTGTCAAAGCCAACAGAATGTACAATACCGAGAGAGAACCCTAATGTAAAGTACAGAGGGACACTGGGTACTAATGATGTATCAGTGCAGGTGTATCAATTTTGACAAATGTCCACAGCTCAGCTGTGGGATGCTGACAGTGGGAAAGGCTGTAAGGATAGGGAGTAGACCAGTACAGAGAAAATTCTGGATTTTCTGCTCCATTTTGCTGTGTATCTAAAAGCCCTCTGAAAAATAGTCTGTTAAAAATAAATAAGTTATTTTTAAAAAAGCAAGCAGAGGGGCGCCTGGGTGGCGCAGTCGGTTAAAGCGTCCGACTTCAGCCAGGTCACGATCTCGCGGTCCGGGAGTTCGAGCCCCACGTCAGGCTCTGGGCTGATGGCTCAGAGCCTGGAGCCTGTTTCCGATTCTGTGTCTCCCTCTCTCTCTGCCCCTCCCCCGTTCATGCTCTGTCTCTCTCTGTCCCAAAAAGAAATAAACGTTGAAAAAAAAAAAAAATTTTAAAAAAGCAAGCAGAGATACGATCATTGCATTCTGCTTAATGGTATCATGGGGGCAGTGTGAGCATAATTATGTTTAATCCAATTCTTTAAAGCCAAATAATTTTTAAACTAAAAGATCATCTCCCAGTGAGCCCATGTATTAATAATCCCATCAATAGTTTAGGTAAATTATTGCAGTTCAGAAGACAACAGAAGTAAATATGGAGGGTAATACTTGCAACACAATGAGAATTTGAACAGTTAGCAGAAATGGGGGATTGTGAACATGTGCCCCCTGGTGGTAACTATATGAAATCACTAACTCAATCAACGTAAGTATGGGGTGATCCTACATTTATCAAAACTAAAATGGAACTAGGCTACCTTTTTTGTTGCACCTGGTGTCCCAGACCATAATGTTGCCATCTCTTCCACCTGTACAGAAGACGGCTATGGGGAAATAGTTTATAAGAAGTTAACAAAACCAGTCAATAATGCATGCATTTCAATTTAAGTTTCCTAGAGCATGTACTATATGCTACGCACTGTAATTGGCAGAGGAGATTAAAATCGAAAAAAATACATGGCTTAACAATAAGAGAAAACAAGCCGTGAAGGGAAAAGACTACAAAGAACTCAAAATGTTTATGCTGAAAAAAACACTTTACAGAACAATCCCTCTGTGTAAATATTCTTAAAACCACACAAAACACTATATATGGTATGCTTATGGAAAGAATAATGATAAACAAACAGTAACCAAAATATACTGAGAGCTTACTAAGCGCTACACACTAACCCATGTGCTTTATATAAATTATCTCAATCCTTGTTATCAACCCTCTTAGGGGGTTATTACTATCCCCATTTTATTGATAAGAAAACTAAGGCATAGAGAAGATAAGTAACTTATAAAGATATTCTTAGCAGAATAAATCGAGAGCCCACTCTCCAAATCTCCAAGCTATACTGTCTCAGTATTAAAATATGGACCAGATCTACACAAAATGGTACAAGAGGTTGCCTCTAGGTTAGAAAAAAGGGCAATGGGATTAGAGAAGGGAACATAGGGGAACTTCAATTTATCTGTAATGTTTTACTCTTTAAAAACTAAACCAAAAAGACTCTGTTTCCTGTGTGAAAGAGTGAGCCCTTACCGAACCAATCTTTACCTGCATTAGCTATCAATTTTGGACAAAATATAAAAACCAACTACCTGAGGGCTGTTTAGAAACTGAACAAAAACATGCAATTTTTGGAGGGGAGTTTACACCTGATGCAAATGATTGGCCTGGGCTAAATTACTGTTTTTTTGTAGTTTTGCCTTGAAGGTAGCCACAGTTGCACGAGCAGTACCAGGCAGCTAAGATGCCAATAAAATATCTGCCATCTTTCAAGCCATAGGAACTAGGAAAAGGAGACTGAGGCAACAAGAGCTGCCAGAGTGAGAGGGGAACTCCACAGAGAGCCAGAGAAAGGGTAACTCTAATTCTGTGTTTAAATTTAAAGCACAGGGCACCTGGGTGGCTCAGTCGGTTAAGCCTCCGACTTCGGTTCAGGTCATGATCTCACAGCCTGTGAGTTCGAGCCCCATGTTGGGCTCTGTGCTGACAGCTCAGAGCCTGGAGCCTGCTTCAGATTCTGTGTCTCCCTCTCTCTGTGCCTCTCCTCTGCTCATACTGTCTCTAAAAATAAATAAACATTAAAAAAATTAAATTTAGCACGAGTCTCTGGTTGACCCCTGAACCATATATGCAAGGGAAAACCAAAGGCAGCTGGTAATTAAGGCTTATGTTGAAGAACTGAAAATGGGGTCTGACCCTTCTGTATGTCTAACAGCCTGCCATCTAACTACTACTGAGTTAATTGCCTGTTAAAACAAAAATATCAACAAATGAAAGTCCAGGGAAATAAAAATGACTTTGCCCAAGAGTTTAGAGGCAGAAACCACATTAAAACAGGGGTTCTACATATGGTTGTAAAAGTGTGCCTTGTACAAAGGCATTTGGCTGAAGGATCTAAAATCTAATCTGTGTTTACCAACCAAACTATGTGGCCTTGGGGGCAGTGTCCAACCAGATAATTCATGCTGGAGCACCTACAGACTACTGGGAGCCATGATAAAAGCCACCAGCCCCAATTTCTAACACAGTGCTTTTTTCTACTAGACCACATTGGTATAGACTTACTGTATAGAGTTTTAAAGAAATTAAGCGAAGGGACCAAAAGATACAGTGTTTCCCTTTCCTATTACTCTTTAAATAAATTTACTTTGTAAGGTAAATTTTCATCTTATTTTTATAAACTCACAGCAAACTCTGACACAGTAGTAAATCAGAACACAAACACCTAACTTTATACAATAGATGTATGAATGAAAACTTAGAGGTAAAAACTATGCCATTTATTTTTCTTCAAGGTTCCGCTCTCAAAAGCAACCACAGTCAATTAAAATTGACATTTTTTTGAGTACATATCAGCTCAACAACTCAGTTTGATTTTCCTGAGTGCTCATGTGAATAAATGAAAATGTTCCTTTTAAAAATAGAATATTTCTTAATGATAAAGGAGACTGCAATGCTTGTCTTTACCACTGAGGTAAAAATCAGATTAGTTCAGCCACTTCTTTGAGATCAATGTTTGTTGGTCTTTTTGTTAAAAAAAAAAAAAAAAAAAAATTCAGTGAGAAACTAATAGAGGAAGGAGAAAAGAAGTGAACAGAAATGAAGAGCTCATTCAGACAATCCTGTTTTTCCCTAGCTACTACAGCACTGTTCTGTATTATATCACTCTTTATATCTTCTTTCTCTATTATAATAGCAAAATAAATATAGAAAGATCAATTGTGAGTAAATAATGGTTGAAAACATATTAGAGAATTGGGCCATTTAAAGTAATTAAATAGTAAATTTTTAGGTAGAGAATCATGCCCATTTTATCAAGTTTCCCACTCTATCCTCACACCCCATTTAATTAAAATTTTACAAGTAAAGTATCTAATTTATAAATAGAGTTAACCAGTGTCCAGTACAGGTTTTGATTTTAAAGGACACTCGAAGTTGTACAGAGGTATTGTGGCTGTTTATAAGTATTTACCTTATCTGCAAGATTATAGAAAAAAATTATCTGAAGATTCTTAACAGGGACAAGCTGGAGATAATGTCCATAAGAACGGGACTAAAAGCCAACTTTACTTCATGGGTTTCAGTCATGAGACTCTCAATCATCTATGTAGGTAAAGTAGCAACTCTGACAGGGGAAAGGGAGGAAACAATCACAGCTTCTTATTAACTCACTACAAAGGTTAAGGACATGAAAGAGGAAAGGTACAAACCTACCTTTCTCAAACTTAGAAAAGGCAACTGATTTGAGGCTGCACTGATGACCTTTGCATGTTCCAATCAGCTCACCAGCTTTTACATCCCAAAATTTGGCTGTTTGATCACCTGCTGCTGTAACCTTTCAAAAATAAGGTATCATAATTTAATAAAGAAACGCTTTACCAGTGTTTACCCAAATTCCAATAAAATGAAAGTCACTTACAAGCTTAAGTTCACCAGGAACCCAGGCCAGATCAAAGACAGCATTCCAGTGAGCCATCCATTCTAAACAAAGAAAATGGTGAACGTGAAATGTCTAGACTATGTTCGGGGTAGCCATATCAATAGCCATCTGAATTTCTTGAAAGCTGTTGTGAAAAGATCAGTCATCAGCACCCCACAGTCCATGGGCCAAAGAGAACTTGTGTACACACAGACATTATACATTCCCTTTACTACTATAGAGAACTACCATTTGATATCAAATTCCTTTCCATGAGGTGACTACTAATATACTCTCCAAAATGGAATGTTTCTGAAACATTTCCAGTTCAAAAATCTTCATTATGCTCTCTGAATGCAATGTAAACTAGTTTGACATTCAAGGTTCTGCATACTTTGGTCTTTATCTCTGTTGCAAGGTTTATCTCTCACTGTTCTCCATATACCTTATTCCAACCAAACTGGATCACTCCCTATTCCCTAATTGTAGCCTATGCTTTCTTATCTCCAGGGCTCTGCTGATGCTTTTGCCTCCACCTGGCGTGTCCTATTCCACCTCCATTGGTTTAAATACCATAGTCCAACTCAAATATCCTACACTTCATGAAAAATTTTCCTTGCCATCTTTACTACACGAAAGCTTTCCTTTTGACACCTGTGGCATTTTTCTTGTACATCTACATCATTTATAGCCTGTTTTATTTATCTCCACACTTGACTTAACTAGTTCCAAACTATTAGCTTCTTAAGGTCAGCAGAACTTTTCCTTGGGAAATGCTTGGGCAACATAAATACTTGAAAGTGATGTTTCCTCCAATCACGTTAAGTGTAAAAGATTTAACTTCTTAAAAGAAGAACTGTTTTTAATCCTAAAATGTGTGTGTGTGTTTTTTTTTTAAACTTTCAGTAAAGGTATTGCCATAGTTAATAATATTGACAGAAAGGCAGTCCACCATTTACTTTCGGCCTGGTCCCTGAACAGACTTAATCAGAAGTGAATAGGGGCACCTGGGTGGCTCAGTCGGTTGAGTGACCGACTTCAGCTCAGGTCATGATCTCACGGTTTGTGGGTTTGAGCCCCGCGTCGGGCTCTGTGCTGACAGCTTAGAGCCTGGAGCCTGCTTCGGATTCTGTGTCTCCCTCTCTCTGCCCCTCCCCCACTCATGCTCTATCTCGGTCTCAGAAATAAACATTAAAAAAAAATTAAAAAAAAAAAAAGAAGTGAATATAATTGGTAATATATCCAAATAACAATTTACATGAGGCTTTATGAATTCAGAATAATGTTAAAACAACAAGTTTAGACCTAGACTTACCTTTGACACACTTCTTTCGATTGGCTTGTGATTCTGTGTTATATAACCTAACGAAGCCTTCTTCATTGGCAACTGCTAGTATATGCTCCATATTGGGAGCTAAATAAGAAATAAAAAATAAAATATATAAAAAGTAACACAAAAATTTTAAAGCTGAGTATAAAGCTCTAAAAACAATACACTATAGATTAACTGAATGCTACTAGTTAAACACAAAGAATCTGTTTGAAAAGAGGGAAGAGGATTCTACCCAAATAGCATTTGATATGGTAGAGACGTTATTTGAATTAAAGACTGCTTAAAATTTGCCATAATATCTAATTCAGTGAATGACTCAAAACCACCAAAATTATCTTCAGATAATCTCTTATTTAGAGAAGGGTAGTACTTAAAGTAAGAGTGGTACTGACCAATGGCGAAGAAAAGCATATGATACAAGCCACCAGCAAGTTGAGTCTACTAGTTAAATTTCCTTTTCATACCCTTTTACTTTTCCTCTCTTAAATCATTAACCGTGGGGACAAGTACTTCTATTTCTGTTCATATGTTCCCCAATGCATTATAGAAAGAGAGAGATTCCATCAGACCAAAAGGTGTACCTACTGGGCAAATCAGTTTTTCATGATGGCTGAACCTTTGCAATCCTTTCCCAGTATCAATTAAAAAACAACAAAACCAACAATGCTATAATAGTCTATGCTTTAGAGGAAATCTATAATTATGCATAGAGATTAAGAAAAGCCTATTTCATAAATCATAGAACAGTTATTAGAAAAATTCTAGGGGCACCTGGGTGGCTCAGTCGTTAAGTGACCGACTTCAGCTTAGGTCATGATCTCACGGTTGGTGAGTTCGAGCCCCATGTCAAGCTCTGTGCTGACAGCTCAGAGCCTGGAGCCTGCTTCGGATTCTGTGTCTCCCTCTTTCTCTGCCCCTCCCCTGCTCATGCTCTGTTTCTGTCTCAAAAATAAAAAATAAACATTAAAAAAAACACATAGAAAAACTCTACCATCTATCTAACTTACTTTTTCTTGAAAGGGGGACAGCCAGTATTATTTCTTCTCTAAGTGTGAAACAGATTATTTCTGAGCAAGCCTAGATTAGATAGTAATTCTCTTACCAGAAGAGAAGGTACATCCAAAAGGAGGAACTGGGACTCCTGTTTCTCCATAAGAAGTGTGCTCATCATTACAGTTGCACTGATAACCAGTTAGAAGGGACTGTAGAGGGTACTGTGAAGACCATCCTAAAGTAAGACACAATTCCTTATAGAATTCCAATATATCATCACATATCAGTACTTTAAACAAGCACAGAGGTACATATCTGTTTTTAACAGCTTTACATACTTTATATAGATCCACTCACTATCCAGGATCCTCTAGAATACAGTTTCTGATATTTCCCTAAGGGAATCTGAGGTAGAAAGGTAGAAATGAAAGAGCGCACTCAACTTCTGGTGAGGTACAGCTTTAGGCTTAAATGGAGTCTTAATCCATTTTAAATGGAGACTCTCCTTTGTACAGTGGAGATTTTAAAAAGCAAGTGGCCTCTGCACATTAAAAAAGATCTTACCTCTCCTCCACCCTTTGGTGACAACCACAAAACACAACCACAAAGATTACCGCAACCATTAAAACTGCCCTTCTCTTCAATTAAAAATTGTTTCCAGAGTTTCTAAATCAACATCACCGCAAACTCTTAAATTACTAGAAATATCGTACATAATCCAATGGTCAAAGAGTTAAAGGAAATAATGTAGGTAAATGTGCCCACCTAGCCACTAACATATTCACAAGTAAATTCTAATTCCATTTCCTCTTTCCTTATCAGTGCTGAAATTCTAGGATTCTAAAATGTTAACAGCAACAAGTCACAGTATCTTAAAGTACATTAGAGCAGTTTTCATGTGAGGCATTACGTACCTACCCCTAGAGTACAATCGGTTAAACCCTGGGTAGTGGTAGGGTCAGGGAAGTCTTTAGAGTCTCTAGAAATCGAAGTTGAGAGATGACTAAGTTTTCACTGAATATACAAGAGAGAGGAAGAAATTCAGGGTACAGGGAGAATTTATTCGACTTCGGTCAGAGATCTAATGTGCACTATGGTCCTAAATAAATAGTAAGCAATCTTCAAAGATTTGTTTTATCATTTAGATATAGGGGTCAATACATTTAAAATATTTAAAATACTTAAATATTTTAAACTGAGAACTGAGAACTAAATGTTTATTAAGCACCAGAGGACAATGAAGTTACATTCTATTGAGAGGTGTCTAAATAATTAATAAACACTCTTACATTTTAGGGTACTTTTAATTTCCACTTTCATCAAAAATACTGTTTGGAGAAGACCTCTTAGTCTGACATACCTCAGACACATCTAGCTTTGGTGTTCCTAGAGATAACCGGAAAGAATCGGTACAAAAGAAGCAAAGAATACAAACCAGATTTAGTCATTATTCCTGGGGATATTACCTCAAGGTCAGGTATCAGGGTAAATAAGCCATTAAAAGACCATTAAAGGAAGAATACAACAGTTATGTTGTAAAATATACATCTACAGGATGAATTTTAAAACAAAAACCTGTATTTTAAAGTCATGTAAATGTACACTTGTGGTTTGGGATTAAAAAATATAATAATCTAATGATTGCAACACAAAGAGTCTAAAGGACCAAGTCTTTAACAATTTAGGCAGAACTGAACAGGATAAGCTCTGGAGATGCAATTCTCTGCAATTACACAGGGACTCCTTCAAACTCTACCTTACTGCTTATGGACTAATATGCACAAAAGGCCTAACAGGGCTTGGTAACTTGTCCCTATCCACCCTTACATTTTTGCACTCCCTATAACAAACAGTTGTAGACGGCTCTCTTAACCAACTGTTGGATCCTTATTGTGCTTTGCAGTTTCCAATACGAATGTATAATTCTTTTCCCCATAACACTCACTTGGAAAAGCCTGTTCTTTCCTCGATGTACAATTTAAGCCCCTAGAATTACACGCCAATTTTTCAAGGAGTATCTAAGATATGAGAGTTTTCAGTGAATCATTTGATATATGTGCATTTCTATAATGTCTGAGAAGGTTGTGGCTCTTTTCCCTCCTCTCCCTTCATCACTGTCTTTCTTCTACTTTTCAAAAGAAAGGCATTTCCATGTCCCAATCTTAAAACTTGTGTTGATCCAAAGTATAAAAACTTATGGGACTCCAACTAAGAGACAATAGGATAATTCCTTTAATAAAGGCATCATAAATAGCCCAATTCATCTCTTTAAGATATACTTCCAATGAAATTTTACTTTTTGCTTCATAATTACTTATCAAAATTAATAGTCCCTATTGTTTTGATAACTTATATACTAATAACTGTAACAATTCAGAAGAAACTCTTAACACTTAGAGCCTTATGATTACAGAAAATTTTGACAGTGTGGTCAGTAAAATAACTTTTCAAGCCTAGAATCAAATTACATTAGGATAAATCCTGTGAAAGACAGTGGAAATAAAATCAAGAGAAAAAGCAACTATAGCTGACCTTGAACACAGGTTTGAACTGTGCGAGTCCCTTGACATGTGGATTTTTTTTGACAAATACAGTACTGTAAATGAATTTTCTCTTCCTAATGATTTTCTTAATAATAACTTTTCTCTAGTTTTATCGTAAAAATACAGTATATAATATGCATAACATAGAAATCATGCGTTAACTATGTTATTGGTAAGGCTTCCTTCCAGTTAACAGGAGGCTATTAGTAAAGCTGTGGAGAAGTCAAAAGTTATGGTGGAATTTTGACTGCGTGGCATTGATGACTCTAACCCCCATGTTGCTCAAGGTTCAACTGTACATATAAAATATGGCAGTTAAAGAGTTTGTTCATATTTTTTAAAAATGATTGATGTGATCATCAAATCACTAGTTTTTATATCCTATTAGATACATTTTAATTTTTTATTTTAAAATTTCAGTAAGTTTAAACCTATGATAAAAACTTTCAGATAACAATTTAAAAATAGATAGAGGAATAATCAGATGTCCACTTTAGAAAGACTGTTAGCAGCAATGTGGAGCATAAACTGGAGAGAGAGAAACTAAGAGACCATTTAGGAAACTTGTTATTTAGTACAGACAAGAAGTTATCAGTGGAAATGGAATGGTAAGCATAGAACAGATCCAAGATACACTGATGAGACAAAATCAGTGGGAATAGAGAGGACAGATTCAAGAGGTTTTAAGAGAACTTTCTGTATCTTGTGGACAACAGAGGAATTTTGATTGACTCAAGTTTCTGGCTAAGAAGACTAGTTTCAAATAATGGGACAACTCCCTAAAGTAGGTAATACAGCAGGTTTGAGGAAAAAGTTCCGTTTTGAGTACTTGAGTCTGAGATGTTTGTGAGACTGACCTGCCGGGTGAAGATACTCACACAGCTTTTATAGGAATGGATGTAAAGTATAGGGAATGGAAGGTTGCAGGTAGTAGGGGAAGAAGGCCTGGTTGTGGCTATGATCATCCATAGGAGTAGGCAGAAGGAGAAAAGGGGCCTAGAATGGAACGCCAACATGGAAGGGGAAAGAAGAAGGTCCCACAAAATTCAGTGCATAGTATATAACAATGAATGAATTTCAGAGTCTGACACATAACAATAAATGAGTATTTGCGAATGAGAGAGAGAGGGGAAGTAGACAGATATACTGAGAGAATGAGGAAAAAAATCTGTTACAAAATAGGGGCTAAATATAGCCCCAATAGCTTGCCTCAGGTCTCACAGATAGTAAGGACTTGTGCTGGAATTAAAACTCAGGCAGTTTAACTCCAAAGATAGAGCTCTTATCCACTGGGCAGTACTGCCACTCAGGACACAGGGCACAGAGAAGGTACTTAAGCAAGGTCCCAGGCGAGTCAGAGAGGGGCATTTCGAGTACCATCAGAAAAATATACAAGGGGGAAGTAGGTAAGGATGGTACAAAGTTCAGAATGGGGGCAAGAAACTGAGGGACTATTCCTCAGTCTACTACTTCTCAATATCCTTTTCCTAGACCTTTGCCTTAATAATATAAAAAGTTCCCTTCTCAGATTCTTTTTGTTTTCCACATGATGTCAAGGGGGAAAGAAGACCTAGTCACTTTTTAAATGAATGGGATTTCATTTCTATCCAACCTCAGTCTGGGTAGTAACTCCCTGGTCAGAAACTTACCAGAAAGTTTCATTCAGGTTGATGATACTCAAACCTGAGCTCAAAACTCCTATTGCCAATGTTTTAACCTAAGGAACCCCAACAACTGTAGCGAGTAAGTTGGATTTCTACATACCACTAACACAGAAACATCCCCAAGTTATACCGCTACAGTGAAAAACGAAACAAACAAAGCATTTCAATCCCATTTCTGTAAATAACAATACATACTACCTTGGCATCGAAAAACATTTGTAATAATATACTTTAATCTACTATCAGTGATTATCTCTGGGGGATGTGGTTAAGGGCATTTTTCACTGTGTAATTTCGAATTTTTATGCACATGCAGTAATCAGGGGGAACATTTTTTTTGACCATGCTGGAAGCAGATGTTCTGTCTTCTCTGCTTGACTGAGTTCTTTAATAGCGAATCATATTCACCAGCGTATACAGCAAACAGCAGGGCTTACTAAAGTTCTAGAACAAATGAATCAATGAATTAACAAATGGATCCGTAAATGAGTGTTGAAGATCTCACAAAGCTGTTAAACCGCACACAAACACACTCAAAGGCACGCATTGTCCAGTTAATGTGCAATATAGACAGAAGCCGTAAAGAAGGCCAGCCGATTCAACTTTCCTCCCTCCGTCGGCCCGTATTACAATTTAAAAACTCCCGATTACGATTAAAAGTGTCCCAAGGACAGGAAAGTGCAGCTTTCTTCAGTAGTTCTCACTAACACGAACTCACTTTGGCCGTGGGAGAACTCGGGGGCTGGGAAACAGAGTTGGAGTCGGCCTTGGTCCGCGGTGTTGTTCGGGGGAGGTGAAGCCCGCCAGCAACAAGTAGCGGTTAGGGCCGTTACTCACCATTTCTCGGGACGCCGAACTGGGGCTGGCGGAGCACCGAATTGAAAAGCATCTGGGCCAGAGGAAAAGGTTCAACTGCAGGAAAAGCCGTGGAAATGCCCCTAGGTTCTGCAGAAATCGTAGCTTGCGCCCCTCTGAACACGACTAGTTATTGCCTCCAACTCCCGCCACTGTAAGCCCCGGCCACCAAACTCCCCGCCAAACTGACGTCACGCCCTCTGATTGGCTCTCGCCGCGGCGTCCGGGCGCCTCCGAGTCACTTCCCCCTTCCAATCCCCGCCTCCTTTTCTCCGAGCCGCGGGAACCCAGAGTTCTGGAGCTCCCTGAGCGCCTGCGCGGGGGGCCGCAGAGGCGCTGGCGAACGGCGGGGAGACCAGGGCGCATGCGTAACAGGGCTTGACATAGCGCGGAGGAAAAATCCGCGAGGTGGTGGAAGAAGATGGCGGTGCTGGGGCAGAGTTTGCAATCTTTTTAAATAGGCTTGTCGAGTAACTATTCGGGTCATGGCGTCAAACTCAACTAAGTCTTTCCTGGCAGATGCCGGCTATGGCGAACAGGAGCTGGATGCTAACTCTGCCCTTATGGAATTAGACAAAGGTATTCGAAAGAGCGGGCTGAGCGGGTGAAACGGGTGTGGGGGGCACTGGCGCCACCAGGCGGTGGTGGCCGCCGGGCAGACGCATGCGCCTAGTTTTCCTGGGAGAGGGAGAGAGGGCGGGGGCGGGCACCCATGCTTTTGGTGAATCCAGAGCTTTTGCAGCTCTGGTAGATTGCAGGGAAATTGCAACGTTGCTGGCTTGGCTTTGCACCAGTTGAACAAGTAGCGAGCTCCAGTGATGGGCCCGATTTGATCACTTGAGGGCACGGTTCCCCGATTTTCCAAGCAGTTTGTAAAAATGTAAATTTAAATTGTGAAATTGTTTTTCAATACGTTCAGTTGAGACAAGGTCTTCACCAGGAGTGCTAAATAATAATCTTACACCCACTTTATAGCGTTGTATTTTATTTCTGTAACTCTGTTACCTACGGGTTACTAGGCAGGTTAAATATGGCTAAAAAATCCAAAAAGCATCGCCCCTTTTTTTGTAAATTCCACGAGTTCTCTTTTCCTGTCGGAGAAGGGGTGAGAGGTGCGAGGGCTGCTTGGTGTAGTCGAAGGAGTTTTGGAGTTAGACTGAGTGAAATTCCAATGCCACAAATTTTATTATCATGGACAGGTCACCTAAGTTCACCTAACCTAGGTATTTTGTCTCCAAAGTGGGTTCAGTACCATTGAGCTGGCAAGACTGTTGTAAATATTGATGTAATTGTATGCAAAGGAAGCCTTTATTAAATGCTAAAGAGATATGCCTTCTTAGAGATGGATGTGGGAGGCAAAGGCAAATATTTGACGGTAAAGAACTAAAGTATTAAAACTTTCTTTCAGTGTACTTCAGTGATTTTTATTGAATGGAGGAAACGTTTTGTCACCTGGTATACAGTTAATTCTTCATTGACCAGGGCCAATGTATACTTTATCGAGGATTGGGACTACAGCTTAGAAGGATCTGTCTTTAAGTCCACTTGGAGCCATTTCCCAGCTCTCTGACGTGGACACTCTGTCAACTTTTTGGGATTTCGTTTTTTTGTTTTTTAACCTGTAAACATTTCTAGTAGGTAGGTCTAGATAAGAGTTTATCAGAAAAAGCTTTTAACTTCTTTTGATCAACATAAAGATGTCACAGCACTCCAATGAGATATTCCTTTGGTTGAGTCACATTATCTTTAGTACATCCTCATCAGCCAAGAAAATGATGCTGGGCTTTGCTTTCTCTTACCAAAGTCGTGAGCTGTTTCCCCTATGAAATATGAAATTATAATAGTAAATGTGATTTTTAAACACCACATAATCTTTTCATTCTGGAAATTCCTTCCTATTTCCCAGTGAAAGTTGCAGGTCTGGATATCTAATAACTCTACCAATTCTAAAGACATTTTCTACCACTCTGGTCCAGGTGGGCTCATTTCATGACAGTAGGACAGTGGTTGTAGAACAAAGATCAGGATCAGGCTCTGAAGAAGTTGAGAAAATTTGACATTGTGTTAAAAAATATATAACACAATTTTTGCTTTTTAGAAGTTGATATAGCATACGGTATTTCATATCTGTAAGAAATAAATGCATGATTATTGAGTGTTTAACTATAAACCGGCAGTCAGTCCTGGGTATTAAGCAAGTGATCGTGTTCAAGTCTCCCAGCAGTGCCCCAGGTGAGTATTCCCCAGATGTCTCAGGCTCAGAAAGATAATTTGAACAATATAAGAACAAAACTTGTGGGGGCGCCTGGGTGGCTCCGTCGGTTGAGGGTCCGACTTTGGCTCAGGTCATGATCTCACAGTTGGTGAGTTTGAGCCCCGCGTCGGGCTCTGTGCTGCCAGCTCAGAGCCTGGAGTCTGCTTCGGACTCTGTGTCTCCCTCGCTCTCTGCCCTTCCCCCACTCGTGCTCTATCTCTCTTTCTCTTAAAAATAAATAAACATTAAAAAAAAAAAGAACAAAACTTTTGTTCTTTTTCGCTTCACCATGCTCCCCTTTTAAAGCTGTTATGAAATTAGAGGGGCGCCTGGGTGGCGCAGTCGGTTAAGCGTCCGACTTCAGCCAGGTCACGATCTCGCGGTCCGTGAGTTCGAGCCCCGCGTCAGGCTCTGGGCTGATGGCTCGGAGCCTGGAGCCTGTTTCCGATTCTGTGTCTCCCTCTCTCTCTGCCCCTCCCCCGTTCATGCTCTGTCTCTCTCTGTCCCAAAAATAAATAAAAACGTTGAAAAAAAAAATAAAAAAAAATAAATAAAGCTGTTATGAAATTAGATTACAGGAATGGCCAGTTTCATTAGAATATAGTATTTTAACTATTGAGTCATTTCATCCTATATCTGTTAAAGTATTTCTGTTTTATGAGCCAAAGGTCATAGGGTCAGAAGGCTACAAGTTCTGACTTTGTTTTAATTCCCAAACGTCTAGACCAGAGTTCCCCAAATTGTATTCCAAGGAATAGTTTCTCAAGTATTTTAATAGGAGGTTCTTAGTCCATAGCCCCTCTTCATGTCCCTCCCTTGCACCCCCCAAAATATACACTCACATTCACACACACAACTTATTTCATCAGGCTTTGTACTAGGGAAACAGTGACAAAACAAAATGAAGCCCCTGCATCTGTAGAGCTTATATTTGGGACAGAGAAAACAGGCAATAAGCAAATATAGTAAGCATATATTGTGACAGGTAGTGATACATACTGTAAAGAAAAGTGAAACTAATGAAGGGGGCTGGAGAAAACTGGGTGTGGGATTGGGATTGGTTATTTTATTTATTTATTTTTTACTTTTATTTACTTTTGAGAGAGACAGCATGTGAGTGGGGGAGGGGCAGGGAGAAAGAGGGAGACACAGAATCCAATGCAGGCTCCAGGCTCTGAGCTGTCAGCACAGAGCCCAACGTGGAGTTTGAACCCACAAACTGTGAGATCATGACCTAAGTCTAAGTCTGACGCTTAACTGAGCTGCCCAGGTGCCCCTGGTTTGTTATTTTATGTTGGATAGTGAGGAACAGGCCTTACTGGTCAAATAGAGGAACAGCAAGTGCAAAGGCCCTGAGGTTGGAGCCTGTTTTGCATGCTGTTTCTGGAGCAGAGTGATAGACATTGAAGATAAAAAGATAGCCAGGAGCCAGTTCGTGTAGGGCAATACAAGCCATTGAAATGATTGGCTTTAATTCTGAGATGGGAAACCATAGGGAATTTTCAGCACAGGTGTGGCATATCTGACTTAATTTTGAGAAGGATCAGTCTGACTGCTGTGTTGAGAGTACATTGAAGTGGGAGAGCCAGGGATGGAAGTGAGGAAACTAGTGAGGCAATTGCCACAATCCAGGAAGAAGAAAATAGTGGTTTGGTCCAGGGTGATTTCAGTGAAGATATGTGAAGTGCTGAGATTCTGGATACATTCTGAAGGTAGAGCCAATAAGATTAGCTAATGAATGTGATGAGAATGTGAGAATTAGTGGTCAGGAAGAAACTTAGAGGTGTTTGGTCTGATCTACTAGAAGTATGTATTGCCATTTACTGAGTGGATGAAAGTGAAATCAGTTTGGGACTGCTAAATTTGAAACGTCTCTTAGTCATCCAAATGGAGATGTTGTGTAGGCAGTTAGATGTACAGATGTGACACTTGAACTCCATTATAAGGAAATATCTGTGGCACTCGTGTCCTAAGATACACACTTGGGAGATGTCATTTATGATTTCTTGCACTTTGTTCTGAGCCTTTTGAGCAAGCATGGCAGTTAAGCTATTTGTTTCTGATCTCTGTAGGAATAAATGGATGCCATTTTTTTTTTTAATTTTTTTAACGTTTATTTATTTTTGAGACAGAGAGAGACAGAGCATGAACGGGGGAGGGTCAGAGAGAGGGAGACACAGAATCTGAAACAGGCTCCAGGCTCTGAGCTGTCAGCACAGAGCCCGACGCGGGGCTCGAACTCACGGACCGCGAGATCGTGACCTGAGCCGAAGTCGGCCGCTTAACCGACTGAGCCACCCAGGCGCCCCAGTGGATGCCATTTTGAAGCTGACACAAGTCCATTCCTTCCAGATGTAGTTAGTAACACAGAAAAATAATCAGGTGATAGCCATTCATTCATTCAGCAAATATTTACAGATCGCCTACATTGTGTTAGTCACTGTACTTAGACTTGGGGCTATATTAGCGAACAGCACAGCTTTAAGAAGGAAACAGGGCTAAATCATGTATGGCCTTGTTAGTCAGGACAAGAAGTTTGGATTTTATGCCAAGTGCATTGAGAAGACACTGAAAATTTTTAAGCAGAGGACTGACATGAGATTGGTTTACATTTTTAGTGATCACTCTAGCTGCTTTGTAGAGGTCTTTCGGTGGTATGTCCCTTTTTTAGAGTTTTTAGCTGATAACCATGCTGACTGAGCTGTGAAGACTAAGCACATACGGAGTTAAATGTTATAATCAAGTATAACTTAAATTTATCTGCCACATTTCAGAATATGGATAATCATTAATCCAGGCATTATAAAGGACATATATCATTTACATTGATCAGTATAACTTTCTCATTAATATAACTTCTGCATAGTCTGAACTGACAGAAAGTGTCCTAATGATTTAGGAAAACCTATGCAAGATCTCCTTCACCCTGAGTGAAAAGGAGTGTCCTTTAAATGACATCACTCAGCCTGATTCCTGTAAGGTTGGCCTTGGAAAGGATGAGGTGAAAGAGCAACCAGGAAGGGAGTGGTTCCCTTTCTTGCAGGTGGGCTATGGGAACAGAGGAAATATAAGAGATGGAGTTGCTACTTGAGGTGTTGGTGAACTTACTGCTGCATGAAATTTTTTTTTTTTTTTAAATTTTTTTTTTCAACGTTTATTTATTTTTTGGGACAGAGAGAGACAGAGCATGAATGGGGGAGGGGCAGAGAGAGAGGGAGACACAGAATCAGAAACAGGCTCCAGGCTCTGAGCCATCAGCCCATAGCCTGACGCGGGGCTCGAACTCACAGACCGCAAGATCGTGACCTGGCTGAAGTCGGACGCT